GCGGACGGGCGGCGGCGGCCCCGGGAGCAGCGCTCGCTGCGGCTGAGCATCAACGCGCGCGAGCGGCGGCGCATGCACGACCTGAACGACGCGCTGGACGGGCTGCGCGCCGTCATCCCCTACGCGCACAGCCCGTCGGTGCGCAAGCTCTCCAAGATCGCCACGCTGCTGCTAGCCAAGAACTACATCCTCATGCAGGCGCAGGCCCTGGACGAGATGCGGCGCCTCGTGGCCTACCTCAATCAGGGCCCGGGCCTGGCCACGCCCGTGGCCGCCGCGCCCTTGACGCCTTTTGCCCAGGCCGCCATGTACCCCTTCTCTGCGGGTGCCGCGCTGCCCTGCCCAGACAAGTGCGCCGCCTTCTCTGGGACGCCCTCGGCGCTTTGCAAACACTGTAACGAGAAGCCATAAGGGCTCCGGGCCGCCCCTGCCATCTGCGCACGTCCTCCATTTTACATTACCCCGATGACTGTTTCACCCTGCCCCGACCTGACCCCGCCCACGGGGAGAAGGCGGCCTGACCTCACTTCCAGCCCGTGCGCGCTGAACAGTTGGGGGCTGCTGGAAGCGCAAAGCCCCTCCCGGCGCGAGATCGAGCCGGAAAGCGAGGACGCTGGAATCCACGCCTGGGAGCCCGAAGCGCCCGCTGGGCACCCTCCCGACGCCCCCAGCCATCGAGCCGTGGCCCGTGGTCGTCCGGGCACCGCCGCTCACCCTCGAAAAGAAAACCAGGGCCGCAGCGGGAGTGTGGACTGGCGCTATCCGGAACAGGTGGTCCGGCCCGGCGCCAGGCTGAGGCTCGCGGAGCGCAGGGACAGAGCGTAGCCTGGCTTGGCGAGTCGTGGCCCTCGCGTTGGGGCGCGTCCTTGGCTCCCGTCGGCCGCTCTGGCCAAACTGCAGGGCCTCGCTCTGGGGGTGGGCTTGTTCCCGAGGACTCGTGGCGCCTGGCACCTCCGGCCTCTACGGGCTCCACGACCCCTGCGACGCGCAGCCCACCGCAGCCGAGCCGCGCGATGCACCCCGACCCGGCGCGGCAACTGTCGTTTGCAAGGAAACTGAACTTTGGACGCAAGAAGACCTGGGGAGTGGCTTTTCGGCTTTCCCAAGTCTGAGTTTGTGATGTTTATTTACTTGCCTGCCTAGAGGGCTTACCTCTAGAGGTGAGTGGACGCCAACGCCGGCTGCCTCTAAGTCTGTGGAATTTGTCCCCTAGACAGCCCTGGACTCCCCAGCCACCACAGCCCCCGCCAGAATATCCTCGCCCAGGCATGGCCCGGTTGGAGTCGGATGGAGACCGCGGCGAACCGTCTGCTTAAAGGCGCCTGTAAGGAGGAGGGGGTCCTCACAGCCCGTGCCCCGACTTGGCCCTGGGGTGTCAGGAGAGGGCCCGGTCTAGCCCCGGTGACCCGCAAAGCCCCCTCCCCGCCAACCCCCCGCACGTTTCCGGGGGAGGAGGCCGGGCCACAGGTGAGTACCCTGGGCGGCTGCGCCCTGACCGGTGTGAACAGGGATGGGGTCTGTCTGTTTTAAAATCGGTGTGAAGATAGGGTCTGTCTCTTTTATGTCGGTGCGCAGCCCAGAACTCGGCCACCATCCCGGGTCCACGCGCCTCGCACAGCCTGGTGGCTGCCCTGGGGACTGAGCTGTCTGTGCCGGTTTGTGCCTGAGTGGCTCTGCTACAATATCTGGCTTTATTAACACAATTTCCGCGGCTGTCCTTAATGCTATGCTAACGGGGAGAGGACCGCCACCTACAAAGCGACTGTCTATAGCATTTAACTTTAATTAACACATTTCAAAAGGCCCTTTTGTATTTGCAAAATGAAGTGTGTGATTGTCTCATTCATAAAGCTATATGCTTAATACTAGTTTCTGCTAATTTCCATTTTTATTTTTTCCTTGCTTTTTTTTTCCCCTAACAGACTAGTTTATCAGCTTTGCACATCCAGAAAACTAAGTGTTGGAAACTATGTTTCAAGTCCCTTGTGGGTGACTGAAGGCAGGGCTGGTAGAGACTCAGATGTCATTGACTCCAGAGGTCATTTCACAGTGACCTAAATCAACTTTATAAATTATGTACTTATCATAATCTGAGACAGAGTTGCTTATTCTGGTTAAAACCAGACATAGTTTGTACATCATTTATATTCGGAATAAAGTATTAGATTTCAACATATTTTAAAGTCATATGATTAAATTTTAATATCAAATTAGGTAGTGTTCATTTGTGACTGAACTTGTAATTTCAATTTCCAGATAGTTGTGTCAACTTGGGCCAATGCTTCTAAATCACAGAGTCTAAAAAGTCTCCGAGACGTGAACCACTGCTCTGTAAGCAGCCACCCAGCAAATATGTAAAATAATAAGAAAAAAGTGAAGGAAAAAATCTCTCTTCCCCATCTTGGGTGAAAAAATAACAATTTTTAAAAAGAACCACTTAAGTACTCATAAGTCCTTACAGTCACTTTGTTTAAGTAAAAGTTAAATTAAATTTAAACATTTTTCAAAATTGCAAAGCTGTTTGTCTACTGGTCTCCAGAATGTCGGCAGGCCTGTCATGGGGCCGAGTGGAGTTTTTCCAAGTGAAATGAGGTAGGTCTCTCTCCGGCGGCCGCTGATCAAGCAATCTGGTCTCAAAATAGATGTCATTTGGCCTCTGACAAGTTCGGGCAGCACACTCCCCCGTCTAAGACCCTAGACGCTGGAAGAATTCCCAGCACAAAAGGTCTGACCCCCCACAGCCCCTGTGCCCAAAGTACAAACAACCAGGGGTGCCATTTGGCGCTGCCTGTTTGCAAGCTCGAGACTCTGGAAACATCTGATGGTGGTCTGGTTGTCTTCTCCGGAGGTCGCACTCCTGTGGGGGTGGCGAGAATGTTGTGGATCAGCTCGAGAGAACTCATCCCCACGCATCTAACCACCCAGAGCTCGTGTCTCTCCAGTTTTGGGGGAGGAATTAAATAGGAAAGAACTTTGCTTATAGCTCGGGTTTGAGACAGCCTTGCAAGATCCTCGTTGGGTGAGGAAGATGCATCTGCTGCAATGAGGTGCGAGGAAGTGTCCTGGGACCGAGATATTAACAACAGCCCTTTAAACCAGCACAAAGACAATGCAGGCTACTCGTGGAAGTTCACATTTTCTGGTGACCACATAAAAAAAGGAAATCAAAGCAGATGAAGTTAATTTTAATAATAACATATTTATCCCAACACATCGAAAATATCATTTCAACATGTATTCCATATTTTTAAATTATTAGGGATCTATTTTACATCCTCTTTTTTGTACCAAGTGTTCAAACTCCAGTGTGTCTTGCACTTAGAGCCCATCTCAGTTCAGATCAGCCCCATTTCAAGTGCTCAGTGGCCACCACAGTGGACGCTGCCACTCTAGATTTGTAAAAATGCAAACGCGAAGTGCCTTTGTTTCCTTAGCTTTAATAATAAGCAAGGAATGTCCACAGATTCAGGGAATAAATTCTAGTGCTGGACAACAGGACATGCTCTGTTGTTTTTACTCCTTCAGTCCTGCATCACCAGAGCTGGCTGGGCTGGGCAGGTGGCAAGAAGGGCCTTTGTCAGTTTGCTACCAAGAAGTGGTGGCCGTGTGTCCACCTGGTCACTGGTTCCACATGCCATCTAGCATCGCACTGGCCAACCACACCCAAGCTTGGGGAGTCAGCGTAGTGACAGCCTGGGGTCCTCCCCACTCCAGCCGAGGAGTTGTCTCAAAGCCAACACGGCCTCCTTCCTCTTTTAACCCCACAAGTGAAGAGCTCGGCCACACTGGCTGCTGCTTGAGCAACTTGCAGACCAAGACTCTTTCAAACTCAGATTATGAGCCCGTGAAGCCCGGCTCATGGGGCCTTGGGGCTGGCTTCTCTGAGGCCCGTGGCCCCATATGGGTCCCTTGGTCCCACACCCCATCTTCCTTCACTGACTGGCGTGACTGGCGTGGCCCCAGTGCTCTCGGTTCCAATGGTGCCCAAAATACTTTACACCCAAAGCTCTTCATTTTCCCCTAGTTGAGAAACTCACTCATCTCAAACAGCGTCCCTGGTTTCCAGTAACAAGTAATGCATCCGAGCTCTGAGGACAGGAGTCTACCCAAACCCAGCTCTGCCTCCAGGGCCTGGAGTATGGACCCCACAAAGGCCATCAGCCCGCCCGAGTCCATCCACTGACCGCACGCACCGGGCACTTGCCTTCCGACTATTTCATTTTGTTGATTTCCTCCCAAAGACGGGGTTTCCCTGTCACTTAGGCAGATGTCAGAGACTCCTGGGGGCCCCTCGGGTAAGCTGACGGGCATCAGCGCAGACGCATGCTTTGCCAAATATGCCTGTCTGTTCTCCTTGCAGGTAGTGAACATTAAAAGAAGAGACAGCTCCTCATAAAGGACAAATACTGTTTTCCTAAAAGGATGGGCGAGACGCACAAACCGTCGTTCTGGCCAGTGCAGCCTGGCCTCACCCTCTCGCGGAGAGCTCCGAGCCCAGGCTAATCCGGCAGAGAATGATTACAGCAATTTGATCATGAGAACTCGCTGGGGATGCGTTTTTAGTCTTTAATCGCTTTTGGCATCCCGTTTGGAGGGATGGAAATAGAGGGATTTACGACGTATTTAATGATTTCTCCAACAATTGCCTCTTTGGATTCATAACCCTGGATGTTATGTGCCAATTCTCCAACAAGTCTGTTCCATGACATTAGAAAGTTAATACACATTTGCAAATTTAACCCCCAAGGAGCAGAACCCATGTTACCATAAATGTGGAAAGGCTCAAATAATTAGCAAAGTTACCTTTGATTCAGTGTCTTCCCTGTTTTAAAAAGTGATTAATGCTGGTTTTTTCCCAGTCTGAAGTGCCCGAGGGTACGTATTCATGTAAGTATAAAAGCTGTTTCTAAGTGCGGCTCTCTGAGTGGGAAGACAGCTAGAATTATTCTGGAGGTTCACGTGGAGGGGGTGGTGTTTCTTAAGATGCACGCGTGGAAGGGGGTCAATAAACCGACATTTCTGTTCTTCTGTGGTCGGCTCTGTGGAATCGCCCGGTTGGTCCCCAGTCAGGATGCAAAGGGAAGCTGCCTTCTGGCCCCAGAGGCCTCTGTCTGCATTTCCAGGAGGCACAGACATGGGTGCAATGCAGAGCCGTGCATGGGCCTGGCCGATGGCCTCTGTCTCCCACAACACTCAGTGCCCGCCCCACCCGGGGCCGGCCGGCTTGACCGCACGGTGGTGCCACTGGGGACAGGAGCAGTGTCCTAGCTCGAGGATCTCATAGGAGCAGCTCGGCTGCGGTTAGAAACACCCAAGCCTGCCCAGCCAGCCTCATTTTGCCTCTACGCCCTGCTTTGTCTAAAGTGATGAGCTGGCAGTTGGTCGCTCTCCCCGGGGGCCCTGATTCGTCCTGACGGAAGCCCAGTCTCCCCAGTTCCATGTGGACAGCTCTTGCCGCCCTAATGAGGCCACGGCCAGTCTGG